TCATGAGGAGGAGTCAACAATGGTTATGTCAACCCCCTTCCATGTTGTGTGCAGGTAACATGTTCAAGCAAACCATGTGCTTGCCATTTCCCCGATTTATCTACGGTGACAAGAAGAGTCTTGCAAAAAATAACACGAGACCAGAAATTTTCGTATCCGCACTTCTAAGGAGCCACATCACGGTTTGCCCATCTTGAAAAGTTTACTCTAAATCATTCAAGTACATTGTTCGTAACCGTGTTAATCTTCTCCATCCTTAACCATCCTTGTTCCTCTATAGATTATTATCTCTTTGGCTTTTCTCCATCTCAGAAAAATTCTATTTTCAGGTTTCCTTCAATTTAAAGATAACGTGGCCAAAATAAATCAAAATCTCGAGACTGAGCTCCTTTAAGATCTCAACACGAAAATACTTCTATCCCAAAACCGGGTCATTGATGGCAATCACGTCTCATGATGTATCACTTAGCCCGTATGTATGTATGTATGTAGGTAGAATGTTTGTATTGCCGGACATATGACGCTATCATATTCGGAAATAATATATAGATTTAGCCAAGCCTAAAAGCGGAGCTCCTGGGCAGCTTTGTTCTAAACCCGATTAAGCTAAGCCAGGATAAGCGATAATTTTGATTTGAGTTTTGTAACTTAGCGGTAAGGTTTTCTGTTTATATTTCTGACCTTCTGTTTTGATTTTGAATAATCTCAAGCCCTGCCCCTAAAGCAGTGAAAAACACTTGTATAGACGGTAAATTTATACTTTGGTTAACTTTTAATCCTGGGTTAGCGTTAACCCAATTTCCGAACAACCCAGGCCTAATTACAACAAATTAACTTGATATGAGACCGCAACCCAATCGAAAACATGTACTTGGCCAGCGGTTAACTTACGAAACCACATGACCTTGATGAGCCATAAACCTGAGCCCGCTATATGGTCACATGATACTGGTCGGCGGATACCTTGTTTTGACAGGTGCTTATTGACCATAACATGGATGTCAAATATCAAAGACGTACGCTGTAAACCAAGACTTCGTATTAGCTGGAGTATGCGCGACGTCGTCGTCGTAGTTAGGCGCACGCGCCCGCGATCCATGCCGCTAGCCTTGTTGACCATGAAAAAAGAGTTGCATGGATCTCTCTTTCTATGCATGCATATGGTTCTGTTACTATAGTTATGGTGCTAAGCTTGGCGGCTCTTCGGGCCAACGGAGCTCCGCTAATATAGCCGCCATCTCAAAGTCCAACATCTCAGGTCTAAGAACGTTGTTCCTAGTTCCTTGCTAGTTTTTGTCTTTACATCAGCAGAGTCTACAATCGCCTGAAACTTTATCTCTCGATATTAGAATCCCATCTCTTTCACGGGTTAAAAAGAGGGTGATGTCAAACAACAGTCATGTAAGTCTAATATGACCGCCATCTTGAAAGGAAGTGCAACTTTTCTGGTCTAATAAGTTTTTATGTAGTACCTTGGTAGTTTTTG